TAAAAGAGCAAGTTTTGTGCAATATTTCAGTAAATATAAATCAAAAAATTCCGATGTATAAATTATCATTTTCATAACAGTCGTTGCATTAGAGACGTCGAAGTAGATAACCATTAGTGAACCATTAGAGTGATCGCACTTAAAGCGTGCGCAACTGCACAAAATCTATGTAGTATTGTTTTAATAACTTGAGGCTTATTGAAAAATGTTAAAGTTCAAACGTTTTTGACTATCAAGTCATCTTCAGGTAGTTTGTAGAAATTAGCTATCGGTTAGATTGTAATAAACCCTTAGGTCATTCCCATTGGGAACAGTTTTGCAATGTACATGGTGTTTTGTTTATTTAAAGATGGTTTGAGTCTTTGAATAAGTAATCCTTCGCAGATCTCGCGTTTAAGCTTGTGTTAAGTAGTATTAATTTGTACTAAAAGTGGACCTGAAGCAAGACGGTATTGAATGCTTCATTTGTATCAATTCAATTTAATTGCCCTATTTCATTATGACGTCACAGTATGTTTACATCGGAAAACGATGCTCAAAAGCAGTGGAAATTTGGACCCATTTATATTGTCGACAAAAGTAGAACTTCAGTGAATCGTGTTTTGATATTTATCATGTAGAAATGATTGTTCATGTACATTTTATTTGATATGCAGTCACTCTGATCCCTTCTGGCGACCATAATCCTTAGCGTTAAAACAATAGAATGTTTTGATGTGACGTCATAATGAACTAGGGCAATTTGCGTACCGCATGCACAATTTACTTAATACAACTAAATGGAACTATTTAATTTGTACAGTTGAACAGATTAAGTGCGATTACTCTTAGAAAGACCAGTTTTCTCTTAAAACACATTAGCATAGATATCTTCCCCTTATGAGTTTCCCACAATGTATATACATTTTTTTTGTAATATTAACATAATTATTGAAATTTAATTAAATAATGATGAAAAGATAAAATTCGAAGCCAATATACTTGTATTCCAAGATATTATCTACGATTCGTGTCATAGCCATGCGGTATGAATATTGGGATTGAACGACACTGATCCTTGGTCCACTTTCAGACTTGAAAATGTACTTTGAAATTTTTAAATGATCTCTGTTGATAGATGCTTACGACGTAAGCCGGAAGTGAATTGAAAAAAATAGAAATCAAAGGAATGGAAACGAGGCCTAAGGGCCCTACAGGAGTTAAGATGGCAAATATCAAGGGATTCCATTCACCTGCATTCAAGAAAAATTGCTAGTATGTAGTAAAAGTACATTTTCTTCTTGTTAAATTCAAAAAGAATATTTTTCAATTCCTAAGTTACTTCCGGTTTATGTCGTAAACATGTATCTGTGGAAAAAATGCTCTGTGTTGACTGAGTGGACATTTTGAATTAATCTTGGAATTGGACGGCACTGAATTTAACCATTTTCTATTCCCTGCGGGCAGGGTCTCGTATTCTCCGGGCATTTTGACCGGTACACACTGCAACAAAAGCATAAGCTCAACAACATTTACTTGACTGAGAAGCTGATATTTCTTTATTTTAACCTGCATATACAATGTAGCTGGAGCAAGTCTAGACGGCAGAATAAAATTATACTACTGCAAGGAAAGTGCTTTTCTTTGTGTATTCTTTTGTCTTTAATTATCTTATGCTTGGCCTTATGATGATTGCTATGCTTATGTCGATGAACGCTAAGTTGACTTTCCTTTGTCTTTTCTTGTGTTCGGCTTACGCTTGTGCTTATGTTGTAGTCAGCCATTGGGAACGAATTCGTTGACCAATGAAAGTAATTGAAAGCTAGAATGTTTAGAGAGTGTGACCTTTAACAATAAAATGTGTAATAAGTGATCTGCTTTCGTTTTTGTTAAAAACAGGAAGTTCCGGTATAAATATCGGCCAGTACGTGTGATCATTAAAAAACTAAACTAGTATAAACTTGTGTTAGTTTGTTATATTGCTTACTATGTTGTTGAGCCACGAAGCAGGGCAGACATTCTCGCGTATTGAAGACACGAGTTAAGTTTCTTTATAATTCAGCTTTTTTGGCATTGCTATTAAAGGCCCGTCTTACACTTTCGATTTATTGCCTGAGTTTCGAACATGCTTGAAAATTGGCTGTAACCTTGCGGCGATGGATTATCGCCGTAACAATCGAAGGGCTATTTACACCTACAATTTTAGTTGCACGATTACAAAGTTGCGACTATATCGCGCTGCAAAAATCGCAAAGTGTAAACGGTTCTTAACCTACCGTACTAACAAAGAAATGTCATTGAGTCCTTTACGTAGATACAACATTGTTCTTGTTGGTAAATGAATCAATAAATCGTCTAGGTTTGACTAATATGCATGCAGGGAACAGACGTTTTCACAAGCATATATTATGGAGGTAGTATCCTTAGTTTATGGGTAGTTAATTTCTTATTCAACTCCAAGCCCGGGGGTGGGGGGTTGGGGGGGTGGGACTCCCATATATTTGCTATACAGGGACGTGCCGCTGGCCAGGGTATGGTTTTAGGCCTTGCTGTCTTAAACAGGGTATAAATTTCACCCGAAATCGTCTTAAACAGGCTCTACAATTTAGAGAAAAGACCGATATATGTTTTTGTGTGTCTTAGACAGGGTAATATTTTCATAAAAAACACCGTAGGAATAGTAGAAATACCGTTTCACTGTCCCAGGTTTAACGTGTTATCAAAAACTTCTTATTTTCTTTGATGGATGTCAGAATTGCACTTTTGATGGTTGCATGCGGAGCAGATTTGTCTTGAACAGGGTATGGATTTTCACTTTCTAGTGTCTTAAACAGGGTCGAGCGCTGTCGGCACGACCCTATCCAAAATGGGGACTCCAAGTGCTGAATTGAGTGTTCTGATATGTTGCTCTATCTCCTCGTCGGTTACGGGAAGTTCCATTGTCATGATACATGGATGTGCAACTACTGGGACGGCGCAGTAATTCTCACAGTTTACCGTAATATACGGTGGGAATATATCATCGGTTAAAAGTGGCCTAGTATCATTTGGACCATTTGGGCTGCCATCAGCTGGATCGATATCATATGGATACAAACAAGATGCAATGTGGATTCTGTAGGTTACACCAAAGCTCCATGCACAAACTCCTACAGAAGCACATAAAGCCCATAGCTCTACGTCGTGAGGAAGACGCGGTCCAGCGGGTTCCTGAAAAAA